AAAAGTTGCTGACAAATCAAAAGGACCAATCTGGAGAGAACGCATTTATTCAAGACAAGACCCTGAAAGAAGATGAATAGGGGAAAATGAGATTATTATGGTGGATCCTGGTTCAACCTGACTAAAGAGGAGGTCAAGACATGGACACAGAAGGGTCCACCACAGGAAGGTCAGGAGACAGGTGTGGGCAAGGCTAGCAGGATCTCAGCCTCCAGAACTGAGGAGAAATAGGTTTCTGGTATTTACGGCACCTGCCAATGGTATTTCATGATGCTGTCCTAGGAAACAAATAAGAGTTCAAAGTTTGACTTAGAGAAGGTGACTGAACTGAGCCTCTTCAGTCATCGTTCTGTGAATGGCAGCAGGAAAGCGATACCGTGTGATGAAAAATCAGCCCTCCTCAGTCATGGCCCACATCTTCCTCCTTCCAGCTGATAACATTAAGAAAATAAGTGTAGAGTGTATAAAAAATGAGTGGTACATACAGGAAGCAGAAATAAATAATACAATCCTAAAAATACTCTATTAGGAATGCAGAAAGGAGCCGAAGGGGGATGGTTTCAAGGTTAAGTATTTCCTGTGAAAAGACTAGAACTGTGTGACTGAATATTTTAGGGAAACAAAGAGGCCCCATGGCCAGAAGCGTTCCCTGCAACTCTACAGAGACCACGCGTGGGAAACCCAGTGCTCTCACAGCCTGTTCTCCTGCATGGCTGCTCCGCTTCCATGCAGACGGGCCTAGGATGACCACAGCCTTGTCTGTGGATCACCACAAGCTGCACTCACTTGCCCAGGAGGCCACAGCCAGGCACAACCTTCACGGGAGGCCCAGCTGGGCTCATTTGCTGGGAAGTGGCACTGGTCAGAATTCCTTCCTCAGTCCTGGAACTTGCAACTGTAACCAAGTGGAAGCAGGGCAGTGATTGGTGAAAATAATGCAGATGGCACATGAGGGCAGAGATGAAGATGGTGCCCTGGGCATGGTGCCTGCTCTCATCAGCCTCAAGCCCCATCTTACAAGGATGGTTACCAGCTCTGGAGAGGCTCTGGGAGGTACGCAGGGGCACAAGGCCTTCGAGGTGAGACCTAGCGGTGTGTTGACCAGGCCTGCAGTGCAGCCTCAGCCACAGCCCTCCCCCAGCTAAGGCAGCAGGTGGCCTGACCGGGCAGCATTACCATGAGCAAGGAGAAAAGACACTGGGCACAGACTAGAGCAACAGAACAGCCGGGAGAGGGTTTGCCTTGCACCTGGCCGACCCAAAGCAGATCCCAGGCAATCCTCTGAGCACTGCCAGGAGTGATTTTGGAAGGCAGAGCCAGAAGAAACCCCTGATCATCCCCAAGTGTAGCCCCAAAACAAACAAAACAAAGAGATCCAGGACTCTCTGCCTCTCCCCTGAGGATACTGACCATAGCCAAGAGTGCTGGGCATATGCGCCAAGAAAGAGGGAGCAGGCAGCAAGAAGGGCCTGGATGGGAGTCTTTTTGGGCCCAGCAGATGAGACCTCGGGAAAGTCTAGAGGGCAGGGCAGGTGGGGAGACAAACTGGGAGACCACTGGGGGCAAAGCACCAAGGGCACCTGTGCTCGGAGTCCTGGACCCTCACAGACCTTCTCTCCTGGTGAGCACAGACCACTCCAGAAGCCGGCACACTCAGGGACCAGGGTCTTCTAGAGTCTTGGACCAGAGTCTCCCATCAACTCTCCAGATGTCTATTGCCTGAGTTCTCACCTTCCAGGACCTCGATAAACCACCCAGAATCTTCCTGTTCCTGCCAGGCTGCTTCCAACTCACCTCAAGTAGCAAGGACACACTGGGATGGGTCTCTGGTACTCTGGGATTGGTGTGGCCACTTCCAGCCTCTTCCTCTCTACTTCCTAAACCTCCCACCTTCCAGCGACTCAAGACTCCCAGGCCATCCTTCTGGGCACTTTGCTCATTTTTCTGCTCTCCCCCCTCTGTGAGTCTGCAGAGCCTTCCAGCCTGTTCAGGACCACCTGGGGGATCCAGCACTGTTCTAGAGGTTCCACAGAGCACCAAAGAGCCACTGAGCCCTGCCACTGAGCACCCCAGTCTTGCACCGGCCTCTCCTATCTGATCACATGCACCCCCTGGAAGTCTGCCCCAAATATTTGGCACACAATGCCTCAGAATGCTGGACATGGGGACGTTTACTAAGACTGGACCAATCACTGCCCTTCAGGCCTCCTGCACAGAGAAGCCCAGCCAACCCAATGAAAGGTCACAGAGAGGGTCTACGTAGGAGCCAAAGACAACCATGAGCCACCAACACATGGTGACAGGCATATTTCATGTAGCCAAGAGTGCCCTGGGGGAAGATGCTTTCATCCAGAGAGACAAACACAGGAGCCTGTGCCTTCCCAACCCAGAGGGATGTGGCTCCAGCAAGCATGCCACCTGCCAACAGGCTGCTCCAGCCCCAGCACGCAGAGAGGCCAAGTTCAAGCTCGCCTGAACACCACTTCCACCCACTCAAACTTCTCTCAGCTGCCCCGCCCCATTCCTGACCATCTCCTGTTTAACCAGGGTCAAACCACCACTTTCCCCCATGGCCTCTCCAGCTGCCCCTACCTGCACACCTAGTTAAAAACATTCCAGCTGTCCGGGGCTGGAGCAATAGCACAGCAGGTAGGCTGTTTGCCTCGCATGCGGCAGACCCAGGTTCAATTCCCAGCATCCCATATGATCCCCCGAGCATCGCCAGGAGTACTTTCTGAGTGCAGAGCCAGGAGTAACCCCTGTGCATTGCTGGGTGTGACCCAAAAAGAAAAGAGAGAGAGAAAGAGAGAGAGAGAGAGAAGAAAAAAAAAAGAAAAGCATTCCAGCTGACTGACACTCAGGCCTCCTCCTCTGACCCACACTCAGCCCTCAACCGCCACAGGGCGAGGCTGTGCTGGAGCTGGGGCCCAGGGGAAGGGGGCAGGGGTTCCAGAGGAGGGGCCTGCCCCAGGTCAAGCTAGTGTAGGCCCATCACAGCTGTGGCTTCCACCACTGCCAGTCTGTTCAACCCAATGAACTCCAAGCTCCGTGGGTGCTTTAGTGCGGGGACCCCAACCCAGGGCTCAGCCGCCAGAGCATCTGCTCAGAGCTGGAGTCCAGCCATGGGCTGCTGAGTGCATCTGACATCCCGGCAGTGCGGGTATGGGAGAAACCAGAGATTCTGCCAAAATGGAAGCTTTACTCCTTCCTCCCTTCCTTCCTCATCTAGGACCCAGCACAGACATTCAGAAAGCTGCAAACATGAACAGGGCTGAAAGATATCTACACCGATAGGGTGAAGACGGGTGAGGGAGGGAGGAGAGTGAAAAACGGAAAAAGAGAAGCCACTGGGGCTCTGGCCAGCCACCTCACTCAGGAAAGGCCCTGTGGTCACTACCAGAAGGGCAGACAGGTGAGGAGCCACAGCCAGCATGGGTTTTTCAATCCATCCTCATTAGTTTTTCAATCCCTCCCCAAGGGTCATCGCAAAGGACTAGCCATAACTACTCACCTCCGTCTGCGAGTGGGGAACCCATGCCGGAGATGCTGAACCCTCCCTGTCTCCCACACCCGAGACAATGCCCTGGGAAGCAGAGGGTCCAGTGCCTTCCCACCAGTCTAGGGCCTTTGAGCCCTGCTTTCCTGTTCTCCACTCGGGAAGTGGATCCCAGTGCCAGCGCGTGAGGTTGGTGTGCGGGATCAAGCCCTCTAAGCCGGGCTGCTGTCAGCCCACAGTGCTCACCAAGAGCACAGCCAGGGCCTCACTCAGGAGCTCCTGGGGAGACTAGTTCACAAGTGACTCAGCAGAGAGTCAAGAAGGAAAACACGGAAGCCTCCAGGCCCTTCTTCCTGGGAGGCAGCACATTCCAAGGGCCTGGGAAACGTGTTAGCCACCTACACCTCAGCTACCTACAGGGGATGAAAACAACCTTCCCACTGAGAACTTGCTGCAAATGTGGAAGAGGCTGATGTCTGCCAAGGGCTACTTTTGTATTCTTCCCTCTGTGCTTGGCAGACCCTAACACGGCAAGGTCCAGGCAGTTTCAGTGCTGGTCATACTGCTGTCTCCTCTGTGCCCATTGTGGAGACGTGCAGACTCTGCTCCCTGCCCCCAGAGTGCACAGGGGCACAGACCCCTGCAGGTAAAAGTGTCCCTGGAAGGCTAGGTGTCAGAGCCGCAATCTCCATGCTCCAGGAAACTCCCAGGTTCTGTGTGGGTTCAGGATGTGGCAGGTTCACTAGCAACTAAGAAAGATGGTGAAAACCCTAAACTCAGGAGAAATAAATGTAAATCCTCAAAACTGCTGGAAGAACCATCCATAACACTGAGCCAGGTTTCAAAACATTGTCCCTTCTTGTTACACGCAGGGTGCCACTGAGGCCGAGGCTCTCAGAAGCACACAGAAACCACAGCAACGCTTCGAGGTGTTGCTTATTTGAGACCGGTCTTTCTAAAATTATTTTAGGTTTTGCCGCAGGTGCAATTTGGATATTCATCCAGGTGTTATTTTAGCGTTTACCTGACTTGAAGGTAGGTAAGAGGTGAAAAATGTAACAGTGAAGAACCAATACACCCAAGAACCGGAATCACCTGCAGAAATTACTGTTTGGGGCACTAACCAAGCTGCAAGAGACCATCCGCGCTTCACACTTTAGTGCCTAATGATAAGCAGGTGTTTACAGCTAGAACTACATCCTGGAAGCCTGTGCTACTGTGAAGATTTACACCACGGTCAGAGAAGAGAAGCCTCAGAGGCACAGAGGCTGAGCTGGGACAATTTTGAGGGTATGGAAAGTAAGTGGCTATGACAATTTGTTCTTTGTTCTATCCCTTTTACTAAAATAACTTTGCTCAGGAAATCACCAATCACGTGAAGGCAAAAGCTGCTTTTGTATTCTTCCCTCTGGCTTTGTCTCTTGGAGTGCAATATTATTTTAAGAGGACACTGCATTTTCCTTTTGTGACCTGGCATTTCTGGGGCACAGAGACAAACACTCACCATGATGTCTCCTTTCAGGAGCTGGGCCGGTTCTATGGCGATGAAGATCCTGTTTTGGTGTTCTGGGCCAATAGTGCTTTCGGATAAACAAGAAGGGACATCATTATACAATTTCACCTTACATTCAGAAAAAACAGATTCAGAAAAATAATCTGACACCGAAAACTCAGAAATCCCACAAACTATCCCACAGGCTCATGAACCAGCGGCTAAGGTGGAAAGTATAGAAATGAGGCAAAACGGTACAAAAAGGTCAGCGGGTCAGGCCAGGTCCTGGAGCCACATCGGATGAGAGAGCGGCTTGGGCAGCACAGAGGCAGGCTGTGGCACCGGATGCCAGCAGCCAATAAAGCACAGCATGCATGCCACGGTCCAGGGGTGCTGGGCCACCGCAAAGTCCAGAACACGACGTTGGCTCATCTGGGCTGGACGCAAACCTTTTTAAAAACCTGTACCTATTTTGAATGATGTCATAAAACTCTACCTAAACCCCAAAGGCCAGAAATTAATACAAATCCTGAAGTTGTGTGCCTGCAATGCAAAACTCAGGAGAACCTGAGTCTGCAGCAACGGTCCAGTGGAGAGGTGCTCGCCTTGTACAGGACTGACCTCAGTTTGATCCCCAGCACCCCGTATGTTCTCCTGAGACTGCCAGGATGATCCCTGGGTGCAGAGCCAGGAATAAGCCCTGAGCACAGCAAGATGTGGCCCAAGAAAACTAAATACATAAAATAAAGTAGAGAGAAAAGAAAACTAAAACAATCTCATCACAGAGCTGGAGAGACAGTGGAGCAGGTGACGATCTGAGTTTGATCCACCACAGATCCATCACCAGCAGTGATTCCTGAGCACAAGAGCAGGAGTCAGCCAAGTACGACTGGGTATGGCACCAAAACTGAACCGAAACAAAAAAACCTGTCATCATACTTTGCCCAAATCTGACACAGCCCCTGTCCCCTCCAGGGGCCAGCACTCATGCCTGACAGAACCTGCCTCAGCCCTGCTTCCCATTCCCAACCCCCCGCCCCACCAAGCCCCAGGAAAGCAGACTTACTAGATGCCCGACGTGTACACAGGACGCATGGCTTGGTAGAGCTTCAGGAAGGGCCGGCACACTGCAAGACAGCAGAGCATGAAGATGTGACATGCAGAGAGGAAAGGGCCTCAAGACAGATGCCTGCGGCAGCCTTGAGGGGGTGGAGGCAGGCTCCTGGGGAGGGCTGTGTAACTCCTCGCTGACCCCTCACTGTGCAGGCAGACCCACCACCTACAACGGCTCTGTCCAGTGGCCAGGCTGGGGAGGAAGGGAGGCCACAAGCCACGCCCTGTGGAAGACTCACCTCCACCCGTGTCAAAGTTGGGGGTGCCGTGGAGGACGGCGAAGTGCAGGAACAGGGGTGAGGCGTTCATTTTCACCACTCCTGACAGGAGCCCGCTGAGAAACTGAACGTATCTGCAAGAGACAACCCACTCAGAGCTCCATGGGGCTCTCTGCCGCGAGGCTGAGGACATGCGTCTTGGCACCCGTGACTCCCAGAGGCACGCAAGACCCCCAGCAGATCTGCACTTCACACCCCAACCCATGTGTACAGGAATGAATAAATGAACCAATGAGTGAATGAATGAATGAATATCAAGACACCCCTAAGACCATCCCAATAGTCTGTCAAAGAAGAGCTGACTCAACAAAGCTGCGGATTAAAAGCAGTTTTTCCAACAGCATCACGATTTTTCCCACAGATATCTTTTCTTTCTTTGCAGGAAACACTCTCCCTGGGGATGATGTTTTCCATGCTCCATCGCAACTAGCAAATAAATTTTAAATATCAAGCTTTCGAATGTCAGGGAACTAACACAAAACCAGATGCCATTTCTGTACCTAATCCACAGGATGCAGCCATTCACCAAGGCAGAATTTTTACATCCGTAGTTTCTCTAAAACTCCCTGTTCATAAAAATTTTTTACTTGGCATAAGCTTAAATCTCCCCCAAACCCTTAATATTCAAAGTTCCATGTGAAAACGTGACTTTGGTAAGTCAAAGGACTATCCTAAAGGCACATCTCGCCCTATAACTCTTAAGTTTCCCCTCCAAGATACATATGGAATCAGGTGCTGCCCTGTCCCGCAGCAGGGGCCCCTACTGGAAAGACAAGGCTTGCCAAAGAGCCTTCTGTGCTCCCTGCCCTGGCCTGGACAGCACGATGACAGACCACAGCAGTGGCGCACTGCTGGAGGGATGTGAGGGACAGTAAGGAGCTCTCTGTGGAAAACGCCTATGGACGCCATCAAAGGCTACGCCAGAGCAACATCACTGGTCATGGCTGGAAGGCTCCCTGAGTGAGAAAAAAGTCCTGATCCTCATGTCTACTAGGCAGGCCTGGGCAAAAGGACATTCAGGATGGAGCACCCCAGCAGGGCACAGGAAACCTGTTTATACTCCTGAAACAGCCCAGGCACCAGAAGAGAATCTGGACAGCTCCCAAGGCTGCCTCGTGGCCCCACGTTCAAGGGGTTCATCACAAACTCGGATCCCAATTAAATATCGTGTCAAAACTTACAGAAATATCAAAAAGCAAAGAATGTATAACGTTGGGGGGGATTTTGAGATGTTTAGATCTGAGAAACACCCTGACCTTCATGAAATTAACTGAAGCGGCATGTCCAGATGGTCTCTCTCAGCCCCATGAGCACTGGGAGAGCTCCCACCTGGCTCTCTGAGCTCCTGGCAGTACCAGAGAAAGCCAGTACCTTTCCCACACTAACCTCAGTGATGAGACCCACAATCTGTGCTGTTGTCTCAATGCTTGGGGCATGGAGAAAAAGTAGCAGAGCAAAGGAGGTCTATCATAAGATAGTGTTATTCATAACTTCTATAATGCTGATGACAAACTATGGCTACAAAAATATTTTTTTTTCTCATTGCTTATCAAAGTTAAAGTCACGGAACCTCTACAACACTGTCATGAGTTATAATCCAGGGCTTGTTTGGGGCAAAGAACTCGTGTCTGTCCCCTGCCACAGTTCCATCTGCTAGAAAGAAGCCATTGTTGAAGGTGCGACCATAGATCAACTGTGCTGTGGCTTTAAGAGTGAGACATAGTGGAGCCACAGAGATAGCATAGTGGATAGGGCCTTTGCCTTGCCCACGGCCGACCCGGGTTCATTCCCTGAACACAGAGCCAGGAGTAAGCCCTGAGCACTGCTGAGTGTAGCCCAAAAACAAACAAAAAAGAAGTGCATGAGAACCCTCCTTCCTGCTCTGCCTCCTCCTGGTAAATCCAGAACTGACTCTGTGCAGGAACAGAGGGAGGGTCATTGCTCAGCTCTGATCTCAGGGACTATGGGCACCAAGCTAATGAAGTCCCTCTTACTGTGAGGTAGAGTCTGAATAACTTCTGAATCTTAGCTCTAAATCAGTCCCCAGGGATCCTGGGGCATTTTGGACACAGACTGTCACAGCACTGTGTGTGGCCCCAAATACGAGCTCACGCAGAGTCCTTCAGTCCAAGGTTGGTTAAGATGTGAGAACTGTGGATCATGAAAGGTTACAGAGAGGACTTCAGTTCTCTTTTTCAATTTTTAGATTCTACTAAGAATCTGTAGCAATTAATAATAATCACTGTCACTGTCCTCCTGTTATTCATCGATTTGCTCGAGAGGGTCCAGTAACATCTCCATTGTGACAATTGTTACTGTGTTTAGCATATCAAATACGTCACGGGGAGCTTGCCAGGCATAACAACAAAGTTGTACAGCATGGAGGGCACTGGCCTTGCACACAGCCACCCTGGGTTCAATCCCCAGCATCCCATATGGGCCCCTGAGCACCACCAGGAGTGATCCCTGACTGAAGAGCCAGGAGTAGCCCCAGACCAAAGTCAAGTGTGGATCCCAAATAAATAAATTTCTAAAAATTAAATTAAATTCAAACAAAAAAGCAATATAGGTATTTTCATATTATGTGCTGAGCAATTTAAATGTAAACATCCTAGTTTATGTTCATCTTCTGCAGGGACTTGTCAGAATGTCACACTCTGGAAACTGTTCAGAGAAATGACAATAATTCATAACAGAACAAGAGGCTGTTCAACTGTAATACAAATAAAATGCTGGGTTTTTTCCACATGACTCCCATGCCGATGAGGTCTGCTGCTCCCAGAGGGGCATGGCCAGGCTCAGATACACAGTCCTACATCAACACATTCCATCTCAAGGCAAACAAACCTGAACACTGGAAACACCCTGGACAGAAGGAAGAAACATGGCTGGTTCTTGAAATCTCTTAGTCAGGAGACCCGGTTCCCAACTAAACACACCCTTAACCCACCTTCTAGATTCAAAAGCAGGAATCTGCTGGTCAAAACCCCCTGGCACTGGAGAAACTGCTAGATCCAGGCAGAGCTACTGGTCTCCACAATGGAAAACTACCTTGGGAATTGCCTTGGCTCATCTTGTGCAAATTCCTGCTGCTTGTTTAGAGTAAGCACAATAAGTGGTGCGCATGGGTACATAGGTCACCAACTACAGGGAAGGAGGATGCTAGGGACATTCTCACTGCCATTCCCTGAACTTTTCACAAACTCTTCCCCACATAGTGGGTGTAGAGAAAGCTAGAGGAGGAGATCTGTGCCCCCACATCCTTTCACAGTATCTTCATGGGCTATTGCATGCAGAAGGGAAAGGGGTGTGGAAGGGATGGAAGTTAGAGTGAATGCAAGACTTCCAGGTCCAAGTGCTGCAAGGTGGTGTGCAGCAGATGGTCCCCCAGGAACCTGTGTGTCTAACAAGCATTTCAGAGGGATGGAGAGACAGTTCAAAAGTCCGAGGAGCATGGGTGACATGCAGGAGGCCTTGGGTTTCATTCCTGCCACCAAATGGCTCCCCAAACACTAAAATAGGAATAACCCCTAAGTATCACTGGGTATGCCCACCCCCTAATACACACACACACACACACACACACACACACACACACACACACACTTTACAGGAAAAGGACCATGTTTGAATTTCCTGTTGCCAGTGGTCTATGGCAGAGACCACCTTGCCCACTGAACTGTTAGCCTGCAGTTCAGCCAGGCCCAGTGCACTGACCATGTCTCCCGTCACCAGTCCAGTCAGGCCCAGCTCACTGACCCTATCAAGCAGAAACCAGCTTGATAAGTCAGGAAAACGACAGAAGCCCAACAGCTCAGCCCAGGAGGGAGTTCTGGGTCCCCCATTTAGATCACACAGGGTGAAGCTTTCAGCACTCAAAGGAGATATCTTTGCACACCAACAAGTCGCATACCCTGTTTTCCACTGCCCAGCAGAGAGAACTCTCCTTTGCCTACATTTTCATTTATTATACTGTTATTGAGGTAATACTGGCTTAAAGAACTATGCCTGACAGGCACAGGCTGACTCCCCTTCAGATACACCAGGATTCCCGACCCCCCTTCAGTCCTTCCCCTCCCCACTCCCATCTTCCTTGTCCCTGTGTTTGAAATCGCCTCAGACTCTATTCACACTGGCTCAGACAGACACATACCGTTTCTGGGAAGGCTGCATCAGCATTGAAACTTTATCATCATAGAACTTCTTCATTGCAAATCTGTCCAGAGCCTGGTCAGCACTGGGGAGATGGGAAATGGGGGGAAGAGAGAGAAAGAGAGAGAGAATGTTAGTTCTGCAGAATGCCTCCAGTCCTGTGCCAGTTCTGAGTGAGCAGCGCCCATGAGCTTGACTCTGCCCACATGTTGTGACACAGACTTCAGCCCCTGGGCCTCACTGACCCACTCAGGAATAAGTTCAATCCACTGTGCAAGCATCATATGCCAGGTCAAGCACCCCCAGGAGTTCATCTCAGGCATGGCACTCAGGAATACCCCTCAAACACCTAAGAGAACTGGCCACTTGTGTCTTCCCAAAGGTGGACTCAGGTGGTGGCGCATGGTGACATATGGGAACCCAAGCACCAGGCCCCGAGTATATGAGCAATGTCATCACGGACAGTCCACAAGGCAAGTCTGGAAGCTCAGCAGAGAACATGACCACCCATAGAGAAGCAGACACAGGCCAGAGAGCTGGCTGCTTTGTCTCTAAGTGACCACCACAAGCAGCCCTGCTTTCCCAGAGTCCATGGGACACTAATCAGCTCTGCACTGCCCTCCAGTGTTCTCAAAAGAATCTTCAGAATGCCCACACCAGATTTTTCTGACCGGGCTCTTGGCCAAAAGTCTAGGGGTTGGCAAGACTTACCTAAGCCCCAGATTCCCCTAAAATTAGGAATGGGGATGGACCCCTCCAGAAAAGGAAAAGTGCCACTCTACACCTTTTATTATTTTTTTTTACAAAGTTGTTCATGATTGGGTTTCAGTCATACAGTATTTCAACACCCATCCCTCCACCAGTATCTATTTCTCAGCACCAGTCTACACCCTTTCAGAGGGATAATTTGCCACTCGTATCTGTCTAAACAAGGGGCATGGTGGCAAAGAGAGAGCTGGAGCATCACTCAACAGGCAGCAAGCTAAGTTGTATGATTCCGTGCTGAGAACTAGGCCAGTACGTTGCTTCCTGGGGTAGCACTGAAGGAGATGGGGAGGAAATGACTCAAAAAGCCTGAGAGCGTCACCACTTGGCTTGAGAGAAGAGAATCGAAAGGAGCAACCAAACTTCTTAATCAATGCTGGAAGCCAAGATACGGAACACAACAGACACTGAAATCATAATATTCACGTTCGTAACTAAAAACATTGCACAGAACTCACTCTTTCTTGCAGCCACAGTAACCATGGTGGAGAAATATCTGAAAAGCATGTGATTCTGAGAGTCGAACTGCCAAGGACCCACTTTATGGAAAGTACTTCTTACTCTTCAGAACTGGCAGCACTGCTCTAAGGGACTGCCCTACACTGCTACCCTGAATCACACAGATCCCCCAGAGGGAGTCTGTCATTCCCCATCCCACATGGGGACCCCAAGACTGAGAAGGGGGCACAGAACTGCCAGATAAGAGCAACTGAGACCTGTACTGATCATTCAGCCAATGAGAGGCCTGGAGAAGTGCCCAAATGAACAAGGCCCTCACCCTCCACCCCACCCAATGCCAGGGCCTTCCAGACCATGCAGAACAAAGCTACACTGTCACCTGCAGAATGGAAACCACTCTCCCCTCAGACTCCCCAGGCAAACACGCTGCCTCAACAAACGTCTTTCACTCAACTGAGGAGCCTGATGTGACCAGGAGTATGATCTGTCTGGCACATACACAGATGCTTATTATCACTAAGCAGGGATCTGATTTTTACTGGGGGTTCAGTTTCCTCCCTGGCATGCAAAAGAACCCCAATTTGTTTCCAGAGAAAACATTGGAAAAGTCAGATTTCACTCCTTAATGGTAGAAAGGAGAGGATTTGTCAGCTAATATGAATACGCTTGTATTTCCTCAGAATGGAGCGTTTCATGCTTCACAAAGTGGCCATTGAAACGAGAGGGCTCATGCAAATTAAGGCACATAAAGAATGATATTTTTAAGAGGATTCGGCATGAGTGGAGGTATGTGCTGCGAAGTCTAAGGAGGCACAGCCTTTATTGCCTGCTTTGCCGGGGGGCTGGCTTGCGGCTGCGTTTCTTGATGGTCTCCTGGCACCTGCCCTTGCAGGCCCATAGGCACGCTGCCGGCTGGGGGTCCAACACCCCCATGGTGGTACCTTACAACCCGTGCCTCCTCTTCCACCTCCTGAGAACCAGGCCAGACCTTACTTCCAGCTCAACAGAGAGTGGCCTGACTTCTGGGCATTTTGGTTTCCTCATCTGTAAAGTGAGAGCCAGGACACCAGACCCAGGTTATGTGGTAGGACTGCGGGAAGAAATGAACGGAAGCATGGTCTTCTCGAAGGCCCAAAGCGGGCAGAGTCTGCAGCCATTCCTGTTCACAGGGTATGACCTGATGAGGGATGCAGTGTAGTTCCTGCCTTTAAGAAAGGTGCCATTCATCCCTATTGTTTTTGTTGGTATCAACACTCACTGTTTGCATGCCTCCCTAGGAGTCTTTAGCATAAATCAAATATATTGGCACAACCAGGAAAATGTCTTTCTCAATAGGATGAAGCCTTGGTTGAAAATGGGATCCAGGCACTGAGGACATGGGGCTGCCGAGTCCCACCTCCAGGAGTTCCACCAGGCCTAGAGCTTCCCAGGGCCCAGTGCAGGCAGTGCCTCTGTCCTACCTGGCCGAGACGTTGGTGAAATGCATATAGGACGATATGACCACTCCAATGCGTCCCTTTCCACCCTGCAGGAGACAAAAGAGGAAGCAATTTCTCAGGAATGTTCCAACAGAGATGCAATCAGAACAGGAAGTGCTCAGTTACTGGGGGTGTAACACAGAATCTGCTCTAGAGGAAAACCAGCACTACCGTGCCAGAGCAAATGCCCACAGCAGGAGCAGAGCGACCCAGGGAGACTGCCGATGCCCCCAGGAAAGGTCTGCGCAGAGATGAGGATGGTTCAACTCACAGTTCACCAGTGAGGCCAGAAATTAACGTAATTGGCCTAGTAACCTAGATGAGACTTGCATGACCCTTAGAGGGTTAATGGCTCGGGGAGTTTGCCCAGAGCAGAGAAAGGCCGAATACAAGGAAACCGCATCCAGAAGGCTGAGAGCAGTGCGGCCCATTGATCAAGGTGTCAAACACACAGCCCAGACAGAGCAGCCCCACTGGGATCGCAGGCAAACACCTTCAGCAAAAAAGAGCTGCTTGGAGGCATTAGCTAAACCACAGGCTGCCTCCACCCAGGACCAGGAACTAGTGCTGTCTAGAACATTCTGCTACAGTTCCTAATAGCAGGCAGTAAACCACAGCCCATGAGACACTTTTGCTCAACACCTGTATCCGCAAAAGTGATTTTTATGCTTTAGTATAACTAGAGAAAGTGAAAAATAAAATTCCATGACACAAGAAAATTACAAAACTAATGTTTCAGTGTCCTAAAGGTCCGACTGGAACATGCACATGCTTTTGTTTATGGGTAGCATGGGCTACAGTCTTACAATCAGGTAGAATCAGTTTCAACAAGACCACGAGGCCCCTAAACTGACCATCAGGCTTCCTAATGCTGCTGTCCTAGTGATCAGCAGGCATCCCTGTGCTGTGTAACCCCCAAACCACTAACCCGCGTGGTTCTTTTCAGGAAAGTGAAGAGCCGCTATTCCAGCCAATACGTGACTGGAGGTGGTAGGGGTACCAACAAGAGGAATCCCAGGTAGACTCTCGGAACTGGACACCTGAGCATCAGAACTTCTGACAGGCATACAGCGTGTGGACGTGACCAGGAGTCTTCTCTACCGTGAACTTCACTTCTCAGCTCCCTGACTCTCGGGCACACACAGGGTCGAACAGCTGCTGATAGCAGCTCTGCCTGAATTTCTTCTGCACGCTGACCTCCAGGCACTCATGTTTCCTCTCAGGTCCTGTCAAGCCAGCCCACTTGGAGAGCAGCGAGTGTTCACTGCAACAGCCCCCGCTTCGTCCTCCCTGACTGAGAGCTGAGAAGGGTCCATGCCTGCCTCCATAGCAAGTGCTCTTCTCTTTCTGACGAAAAATTTTTTCTGGAGACAGGGAGGTAACATAGGGGCAAATGTTTGCATAAGCCGACCCTGTTCTGTCCTCAGCACTGGTGTCACTGCGGAAGGCCTGAGCGCTGCTGGGATGCCTCAGGAGTCCCAGCCTTGCACCCCTGAGCACTCAAACTGAGCCATTACCTGCTAGCCGAACTATAATTAGAAGTACCCCAGACTTCCAAGATCTGCAACCTCTCCAGACCTCTGAAAGACCCCTCACAATTTTAAAAAGTATTTCTGTGAAAAATAAGCAAAAATGAACCAAAGGGTTCACTCCCCCTAGTACCCTCCCTTAGCTTCTAAAGCCACGCACCCATGGGCCTTAGTCAGATCAGTTCTGCAGGTTTGGGGAGAGGGGTGTACTTTTCTCTCCTTGAGGGCGACTATAAACATCTGGCTATACTACAAGGCCTGTGGCACAATCACAAGTGCCTGAGGACTCCAATACTGGGGAATGCGCAGCACTTACCCTGCAGTGAATGACCACAACATGCTGGGGGTCACTGTTCAGCCATGACTCCTGGGCCTTGCAGATGCTACACACTTTGTCCAAGGGGGGTGCATGCAGCTCAGGCCAGCCCACGTCCAGAATCTGCTAAGACAGAGGAGGCAGCTGAGTTTTCTTCTCTGAGGCCACTCACATTGATCTTTTTTAAAAATTTACAAATACATTTTAGCTGATGATTTAAAAAAATTATACTCTGTTGCTCTTTTAGACCTGAGTGGAAATTCCCAGGATTCTTTACTGGAAAGAACAGCATGACATATTTTAATGCCCCAGAGATCTCTGTCCCTGGTATTCTGGATTCTATAAAGAGCAGCAAGAAACTGCTAATGGGAAAAAAGACTTGGGGATGTTGAAACCAGGCAAAATGAGACAGAAATTCTTGGCCATAGTTGCTGCCAAATTCCTCTTAAAAGACGCAATCACAGTTTGGAGAAATGCAGAAGGCATGCCCAGGAAGCATCTGGGAGCAGCCAGAGGGCACGTGTCTAGAACAAACATCTTCTGGGAGAACCTTCAACACTGATCACAGCACATCACAGAGAGAATTCTGTGCTGTGCTGAAGAGCTCACAGATCTGACATGAGTCATGTGGGAGAGGAGCTCAGTGGGTCTGATGAGTCATAGCACATGTGAGGAGCTCAGTGGGTCTGATGAATCATGTGTGAGAGGGCTCACTGAGTCCGACATGAGTTCCATATAGAGGACCTCAGTGGGTCTGACATGAGTCATGTGAGAGGAGCTCAGTGGGTCTGACATGAGTCATGTGTGAGAAGACCTCAATGGCTCTGAAATGAGTCAGGTGTGACATGAGCTCTGTGGGTCTGACATGAGTCGTGTGTGTGATAGGAGCTTATTGTGTCAGATATGAGTCAGGCATGTTAGAGGATTCAGTGTGTTTGACATGAGTCATGTGTGAGCGAGCTCAGTGGGTCTGAAATGAGTCATGTGTGACTGACATGAGTCATGTGTGAGAAAAGCTCAGTGTGACTGACATAAGTCATGTGAGTGGAGCTCAGTGTGTCTGACATAAGTCACGTGTGAGAGAAGCTCAGTGTGACTGACATGAATCATGTGAGGAGTTCAGTGGGTCTGACATGAGTCATGTTAGAGAAGCTCAGTGTGTCTGACGTGAGTCATGTGAGAGGAGCTCAGTGTGACTGACACAAGTCATGTGAGAGGAGCTCAGTGTGTCTGACATGAGTCGTGTGAGAGGAGCTCACTGTGACTGACACAAGTCATGTGAGAGGAGCTCAGTGTGACTGACATAGTCATGTCTGAGAGAAGCTCAATGTGTCTGACATGAGTCATGTGAGAGGAGGTCAGTGTGACTGACATGAGTCATGTGAGAGGAGCTCAGTGTGACTGACATGAGTCATGTGAGAGGAGCTCAGTGTGACTGACATAGTCATGTCTGAGAGAAGCTCAATGTGTCTGACATGAGTCACGTGAGAGGAGGTCAGTGTGACTGACATGAGTCATGTGAGAGAAGCTCAGTGTGACTGACATAGTCATGTCTGAGAGAAGCTCAATGTGTCTGACATGAGTCATGTGAGAGGAGGTCAGTGTGACTGACATGAGTCATGTGAGAGGAGCTCAGTGTGACTGACATGAGTCATGTGAGAGGAGCTCAGTGTGACTGACATAGTCATGTCTGAGAGAAGCTCAATGTGTCTGATATGAGTCATGTGAGAGGAGGTCAGTGTGACTGACATGAGTCATGTGAGAGGAGCTCAGTGTGACTGACACAAGTCATGTGAGAGGAGCTCAGTGTGTCTGACATGAGTCGTGTGAGAGGAGCTCAGTGTGACTGACATGAATCATGTGAGGAGTTCTGTGGGTCTGACATGAGTCATGTTAGAGAAACTTAGTGTGACTGACATGAGTCACATGAGAGAAGCTCAGTGTGACTGACATGAGCCATGTGAGAGAAGCTCAGTGTGACTGACATAGTCATGTTTGAGAGAAGCTCAATGTGTCTGACACAAGTCATGTGAGAGGAGCTCAGTGTGACTGACACGAGTCATGTGAGAGGAGCTCAGTGTGTCTGACATGAGTCGTGTGAGAGGAGCTCAGTGTGACTGACATGAGTCACATGAGAGCAGCTCAGTGTGACTGACATGAGTCATGTGAGAGAAGCTCAGTGTGACTGACATAGTCATGTCTGAGAGAAGCTCAATGTGTCTGACATGAGTCAATGGAGAGGAGCTCAGTGGGTCTGACATGAGTCATGTGAGAGGAGCTCAGTGTGACTGACATGAGTCAAGTGTGAGAGAAGCTCACTGTGGCTGACATAAGTCATGTGAGGAACTCAGTGTGACTGACATGAGTCATATGTGAGAGGAGTTCAGTGGGTCTGACATGACTCATGTGAGAAGAGCTCAGTGTGACTGACATGAGTCATGTGTGAGAGAAGCTCAGTGTAACTCATGAGTCATATATGAGAGAAGCTCAGTGGATCTGACATGAGTCATGTGTGAGAGGAGTTCAGTGGGTCTGACATGAGTTATGTGAGAAGAGTTCAGTGGATCTGCCATGAGACTAGCAGTTCTAAGCATCCGGACCTGCACATGCAGATCCTAGGACACTTTTTGATCACTACTCCCTTTCCTGTCCCCTCTAATTAAAGGGTTCAGAGGAACCTTAACATAAAGGCAACAGAAATAGCATAAATTCATAGAAAACACAGAAAACTGACAGAAAGCAGGAAAATTCATAACCCCCTTGCACTTCCTTGAGGTCATAGTTGTTAACATTGTTGAATCCCTTTGGACTACTTCTAAGTCAAAATTTGGCACAGTTGAAGCACATGAAGCATAAATCCTGCTTTCAGCTAGCATTAAAACAGGCCACTAACTGCTTGTTTGTTTTTGGTGAATACTGTGTTTGGGGGGCCAGAGTCTTCTCCTGGCTTGGTGCTCAGGGTCCCTCCTGGTATAGTCAGGCGACCATAATTCCAGGTGCTGGAGACCCAGCCTTAGTTGACCACATGCAAGGCTACCCGCTGTACTCTCTCTAGCCCCTATTTTCTTACGTGCTTTATCATAATGGTTGGAAAATATTTCAACATATGAAATATAGTTATACTATATTATTGTATTATTATAGTATTATTATACTATACTATAAATATAATCTTGAACAACTAAGTCTTGCCAACTAAAAGCTAAAGACAAGTATTTTTGCATTGTAATACAAGATTATTGTACTCATGGAATAATGTAAGCTAGAGAAAAGAAAGCATTATCAAGAAAATCATAAAGAGGGTCCACAGTGACAGCACAACAGGTAGCACTTGCATGTGGATGACCCGGGTTTAATCCCTGGCACCCCATATTGTCCCCTAAGCCTGCCAGGAGTGAGTAGTGATCCCTGAGCACTGCTGGGTGTGTCCCCCAACCCCAAAAGAGGGAGAGAGAAATCATTAAAAAACGTACATTTGCAGTTTTGTCCTTTATTTATCAATACCTTAAGTTTATGATATCTGCTTATAAGATCCCCATAAACATAGGCCTACACAGTTCAAACACTTGAAGTACATGGGTCAACTGTGTGCGAACAGAGATACCATAGCTTGCCCAATGGTCTTCTCTCTCTCTCTCTCTCTCTCTCTCCTCCCCAACCCCCTACCCCCATAAAACTCCCATGGCTGAATGCAATTCGTGGCTTTTGCACTCGTACAATGGGTAGGTTGCTTGCAAACAACATAGGCTCAACTCTGGCACTCCAGATGTTGCTATGTTACTGTTGAACATGCAAGGTGTGACCATGGGGATACCTAGTCAAGAATATAGGGAAATCTCTATGTTCATTTTGCAAATTCCTGTGAATTTATAATTATTTCAAACCAAAAAAGCAGTATTTCATTTAAACAAGAATCCCTACCAGGACCAACCCTTAACCTACTACTGAGTCACATCACACAAAGTTTGAAGCTTTTGCAGCAGAAACAATGTCCATGGATAGTTTATGAAACAGAACAAAACTGCCACGTCCATACCTTTGGGTTAAGCTTTGTCAGGTCATACTTCTTCTCTGAAAGGTTTAATACCTGCAAAAAATTGAAACGTATAGAAATGTAATTATCGTGAAATAAACACAAAACAGAACAGGCATTTCCAGGTGGCAAGAGAAGTCTAGCTTGCCCAGGAGCAACCCGGCACAAGCAGGGGCACAGAGCACAGCCTGCTGAGTCACCAACACGCACAGCCGAGCAGGGCGCACGCGCCAAGCCCGGACGAAGCACATCCTGAGCGAGCTAAAGAGAAACTCATGGGAGCATGAGGGGGGTAGAAATCCAGCTCCAGGCCCCCGTCACTTCAGAGCCAGATGCTGATCAGAGTGGAGAGAAGCCCCAGCCATGGCGCCACTAAACAAGGGCCCCAGCTTCCCTTCTGAGCGGGCCTCATCCTCTTAGCCATGGTCTGAGGGGGATTCACTCTCACAGGCTTCGCAGCTCAGGAGATGCACAACCCAGTTTCAGCCTTTCTTTCAAAACAGACCATGATTCTCCCTCACAGGACGGTGCAAGGGCACTCTGGCCCCAAGGAGGCCCTGAATGGTCTGGAAAGAACTTTGGCCGACCCTAGCCCAGTACATGGCAGCCCTGGGCCCTGCCAGGGTCTCTGTGGACTGTGGGTGATCAGAGTTCTGTGGACTGGAGTAGGTGACTACCCAGGAAGGCATGGGGGTGGGGCAAAGTTCTAAGAAACGGACAGTGGAGACTCAGAACAGGGCCGGGTGGGCCTTCACACACGTCCTCCTCCCAGAGGAACCCAGGGCCACAGCTCTTCCAGCCGGCCATGGTCACCAGCTCAGGCCCAACAGAGGCTGCAGAAGTCTGACAGGGCCATGCAGTCCTCTGGGACGAACATGTGGACAGAGGGGGAAGACGAGCTGCGTCTCACAGGGAGGTCAGGGCAGACCGAAGGCTGACTCACCCCACAGGGATCACCACACGAGAAAGTGAGCAGGACAGTGCCACCGCCACCAGATACCAGGTCTTCCGGGGCACACGTGGCAGATCCTGGCATGAGACAGCGCCCTCCACACTGCTCCTCAGACCCATGCACTAGCCACCGGGTTCTGGGACACTCACATGACCCTCCAGTTACAGGAGGGAGGTGGCACTTTGCCTGCCAGCCAGGGGGACAGTCTGAGGCCGTGTGCTGGAGCTGGGGAAGCAAGACAGGGTGGGGGTCCCCCACATGGTGATGGTGGGGCAGCCACATTGCAGAACAGTGACGCTTCCCTGTCACGTCCAAGGGGACAGGAGTCCCTGCACAATTCTTGGTGCACGCCAAAACCCTGCAAACGCTGCTGGACTCAGAGGTCAGAGGTGGGTGGGCTGCAGTCACCCCCACACGGTGCCTGGGGCGAGGGCAGCTAATACCTGCTCAACCACCGTCTCGGCCACGGCCCCCACTCACCAGGTAGTTGTCCCCATGTTTGGACCTCAGCATGCGCGTGACCTCCTGCAGGTTATGCAGGTAGGACTCCTCCGAGCAGCCCGCAGGGAAGGACACGGCAATGATGCGCTCAGTGATGTAAGTGAGGTCCAGCTCGTGGCTGTTTTCCATGGTGCAACTCAGAGCTGGCAACCTGGAGAGAGGGACTCTGTGAGACGGGGCCAGGAGCCACACAGGACGTGCAGGTCACCATCTCTGGGCACAGGGCAGGGGACACGCATCAAGGCCTGAAATTTCCTCTCTCAACTGTTCCTCCCTCTAGAGGGAAGAAGTCTTCATTTCCTTCAAGGCTCAGCTGGGACAAGGCAAGCCAGCAGTCAGGAAAACTAAGAAGAGGCTGGCCAGCAAGCTGCGGACTCTGGGCCAGCCTGGCCAGGAGGAAGGTCAGAGCAGTAGCCACAGAGCACCTGTCCCAGCTTTGAGTGTCAGTCAACAGCTGCAAGAAGCACCTTGGGGAGAGGAAATATGCCAGCAGAGACAGACCAGCTTGTCCACCTGCAGCTTGAGGGGTGAGTGTTGAAGCAACCACAGGAAATGAGACCCCCTGAGGCAAGCGGAGCAGGCAGTGGAAGGACCCTCACTTCCCTGGGAGAGACACTTACTGACGAGCTCCGGGCCCAGAAAGGAGTAAGAGGAGGACGGATACCGCTGTCAAGAGCAGAGGAGTCCCAGGGTCTGGGAAACCATGGCTACGCCCTGCAGGGCTTCCCGTCCTGCCGCCCTCAGCACAGGGACCACAGGTTCACTACTCAGGCCCATATCTGCAATGCTCCAGGTGGTGGCAGGACAAAAGGAAAATGTCCAACCCATGACAATCACAGCCACCATTAAATCAGAGGGATGCATGAACTTTTCTCCAATGCACCCCTGCATCTGAGTTTTCTCTCCCAATGAGCCAGACATGGAAGGAAGCCGGTTCTGATGACATTAAAAATCAGATCAAGGGCCCAAGCAATAGTCCAGTAGGTAATGCACTTGCCTTGCACGTGGCCAACCTGGATTCGATTCCTGTCATCCCATTTGAGCACCATCAGGAGTAATCCCTGAGTGTAGAGTCAGAAAGAAGTTCTGACCACCATTGGGTGTGCCCCACCAAAAAAAAATTTTTTTTTAATCTGAATTTTTGCACAATGAGCTAAAAAAAAATGGATAATGTCCCTGATGGCAGCCCTTCAGGGACACATTCTTCAATTAAGAATCTAGTAGAACCTCCTCCCAGAATTTTCTTCTTCACAATCGAGCCATGGCAGTATAGCTGCTGACTGAAAGACAAGATTTACCCACTACATGGGGCATATAAGAGCAGGAGGATGCATCCGCCAGGAAAAGCAGCATGAATATAGTGTGTGATGCCTCCCAGTTACTTTTTATTTGGGGGATTTAATTCAGGGCCTTATACATGCAAAGCAAGTGCCCTACTGCTGAACTACACCCCAATTAATTTTTGAGATGAAAAGAGAACTAGATTATCAAATAGTAGTACCTAACTCTAGGGGTAAATTCAAAGTCAGAGACCGGAGAAGAAACTGGGACAAAGAAACAGACACACAGACTCACCTGAGCGGTTTGTGACAAATGAGAGTTGCAGGTGGCAGGGGAAGCCGCAGAACCTGCAAACAGCAAACACGATCATTCAGATGTCCCCATCGCCGGCCAGTCACACACAGCAGGTCCCATTGAGAGGGAACAAAGGCAGCTGCTGCCGGTTTAATCATAAATGGGAACTCAAACACTCTGGCTACTGCCGTGGTTATCACCTGCTAGTGTCCAGAGCGAATGAGGATATTCAGCCCCGAGAACCGAGGACCTCAAGTGACCCAATGCTATTAACTAGCAGCTGCAGAACAGACTTCTGTGGTGACACAGTGAGGACAGTTAGTCACTGAGCACAGGCAACTGTCTGTCAGACCCGGGAGATCTCTGTCAGTGCTGGCACCATCAGCATGGCTATCGATCGAGTTCACCTGCAAGAGGATTCTTGATTATATCTACTCATTCTGTTTCAAACCTTAACCAACAAGGAGGCTGAAATGAGAGATTACATGTCTCTTCTGCTCTCACACCGCTGTGCATGCACGTGTCTCCATGTCTAAATGGGCTACATCATGCGTAAAGTCCCATCCTGGCATTCAGATGATACCGAAGAGTGGTTCTGGTCACTGTCTCAGGAGCTGCACCAGCAACTGTGTGAGTCAGAGTCAACTCCCACATTTCAGGAGGAAGGGTGAGGGCCTGTGGAAGCAGGCAGGGCAGGAGGACCCCAGAGAACCTCCACAGGCCTTGATGCCCTTCCGCCCACCTGCCTCCTTCCTCTCCATTCTCTGGGAATTCCCTCTAGGCCACTGTGTCTGTGGACCCTGCGTCTGGACCATCCTGAGTCCACACCCAGTGAGTGATCTGAGTTAAAAGTGCAGCAGGACCTGGGGACGCTGGCTCTCCATCCCCCACCCCCATTCCAACCTGGACCTCAGGACCCTTCTCAGACATAACCTCGCAGTCCTGACTTCACTTGGAGTCCCCAGGACTTCAAGAATATGAAACAAGGGAACAAGACAGGAAACCCAATGCCGAATGGAGAGCGACGGTTTTCCTGATGCCAACACAGTCCACACTTGGCCAGACCATGTCTGAACCAGTGACCTGAGACAGTACTACACAGAAGGGCTGGCGGGAGCATCCTCCACTCACAGACTGGCTCAGCGCCTCCTCACACCATGGACACAGCCGGCCGTCTTCCACATGCCCAGCAGGACCTCCCAGGGCCTGTCACAGTGGCACTGGGGCTGTGCAGCTCAGTCCTGCGGTGTGGACCTCACCTACCACAGCTCCCTGCCCCCAGACAATAGGAGCAGGTGCTGCCCTCCAAGGGTGCGGGTCCCCCAAACTCCCATGGCCACAGTCCCTAGCAAGCCCGTAGTACTGAGGGCTGCCTCACAGATTCCGCTGACCTTCTCAGAGTTCAGCTCCAAACCTTTATGTCTCAGAGCAGAAAGACAATGAACAATGAGATCTGGCTGCAGCTACTGGAAAAGCAAAGATAAAATATAAAAAGGTTTGCTGTTGGTTGGTTTTTGGGTTTTTTTAAGAGTTTGTAAGGGCGTTCTGGCTATGACATCTGTCACCCCATCAGTCGCTAGGGTGGACTCGGCTGCTGTCTCCCTCCTCCCTGACCACTCCAGGTGCTCTTTCCCCAGCTGTGCACTCGGCCAAAGAGCTCTGAGCACCTTCTCCAAGAATGACTTGGAATAATAACCTGAGACATGCACCAATCTAATATCTTAAGGACAGCCTGACAAAACAGATGAAAAGCATTTAAAACACGGGAAGCAGGTGACTTGGCAATGCAAGCATCATTTTCTGGGAAAATCACTCACAAAATTCATCTATATTATTGGACAACTCCAACTCCTCTCCCTGGAGCTCTGGAACAATCAAGATGCCTTCTGCGACCTTGTTCAAAGAGGTAGTTTCCAGGGCCAGATACAACTGCACCAAGAAGATGCTTGCCATGCTCTTGGCCAGCCTGGGTTTGAGTCCCCATTGGCACCGCATATAGCCCTGAAGCACCGCCGGAAATGATCCCTGAGCACAGAGCCAGGAGCAAGCCCTGAGCAAAATGGGGGTGGCCAAAAAAACCCAAAATGAAACAAAAAATAAATAAAAGAAGGTGGATTTTCAAGGAGCTTCAGAATGATTTTTAATTGATTTTTAATGAGGGAACAGTAAGTCAAATAAGTTGTGAGCCTCTGGTCTATATGAACAACCCTATACACTGGACAATTGTTTATGGAACAGCCTCAGATTTCCATCACATGCCTGGATTAAATGAGTTGAAGGGATCCAACAGGAAATGTCACAGCTCTGCAGATAATGGTGGTTGTTACCAAAACCGAGTGCCAATACTAACCAAAGGCCCAATTATTTCAGAGACAAGAGTTGATAAAGAATTCAGCCAAGTGCTAGCCCTGAAGAAACCAGAGGCAGAGAACACTGGACATCGAAACTAGCCTGTCTCTGGCCCTCTGAGGGCAGCCATGGACAGCTGGCAGCAGTGGCTCAGAGGGGCCCCCGTGCTCCTCAGGGGAAGGGTCAGGGTCTTGGCCACTGCAGGGCTGCAGGCCACCCTTCTCAAAATGACTGTACTTCCTCCTTGACCAACACAGTGACCATCCAAAGCCCCGATGTGCCTGTTCATTGCACTCAGTCTAGCCCAGTGTTTCAGAACCAGTGTCTCTGGCACAGACCCAATAATGAGTTCGATTGGCCCCCTGCGCCTAGCTCCTGATTTCCATCCACACCACTGTGAATGCAAGATGCCCCAAGCACATAATCTGTAAGGAGATGAGCACACAGCATGAAACGGCACATACCACTACATTTCAAGCAGACAATGACCCCCAGAGCCACCCTTAACTATTAACTAGCTCCAAGGGACTTGATTCCATAATTGAGAATTTTCCAAATCCTCTGGCCTGTTCAAGAAGAAAATGCAGACTCAGACCCACCAAGATGTGCAAGTATTAAGTGCCAACGCCAAGCAGGAGAGAAGCCAGCCACACCTCAGAGTGTGAAGGGCCTCCAGGCCCAGACCCAGCACCAGTGATATCCAAGGGTTTCCCAGTCACTCCTGACACCGCCGCAGGTGAGCTGCAAGGAGAGAGTGGAGTCACCTCCCAAAGGCTCCTCCACGTGCCCTCTCCTCTCTCTGCCTGAAGGCTCACCCGAGCCATTTTTGTTTTCCTAGTGTCCCCATCATTATCTCACAGATACACAACTCTGCCTGCCTTCAAGACAAAGCACTGGGTAGCCTCCAGGTTCCCAGAAACGCCAGCACCCAGGAGAGCAGTGAAGAGGCTTTCTCAGGGCAGTGTCTGTCCTGCAGCTGTCCCAGAGCCCTGAATCTTCCCTGGAGATCCCTGACTGTCCCTTGCCCCAAGAAGCCTTGTTCAGTGTGCCCAGCATGGATGGACATCAGCTAGATGAACGGAGATAATGAAGCAAATCCATGCACGCAAATCCCTACCCATGCTCGCATGCACTAGACGCACTCAGAAAGCCAGGCTGAAACTCCCGCTCCCACTTCGTTTCCTCTGCAGTCACACAACTGTACCCTAGGTCAATTCCCACCATACAAACAAGCCCTGGTTCCAAATGAATGCACATGAACCATGCACAGTAGGAGTGATTCTTCAGCCCATCACACCTCTCAGCCCCATTCCCCTGCCCCAGTGACAAGAGCTGGAACTGCCAGCACCCACTGCCTGATACTCATGTTGGCAAGGCCTCACATGGTCCCTCTGTTGGGGCATGCGCCCCTATCGTGGAAGGAAGAGCAAAGGGGCTTATGTGCTGAGAGGGCATTGCAGGCAGGGTTTGTGCGAAGGCCCTAAAGTGGGACTGGCTGCTTCTCGAAAACAACCTGTGTGCAGGAGGGACCACTGTCGTCAGGACAGGCCCAGGAAGAGTAAGACTAAGGGAGTCAAAAGGGGCCAGCCCACCCACCTTCTCAGCAGGAACCCCACAGGACGGAGAGAAAAGCAGTCCTGCACCCTTTTCCTGCCCTCTGGCTCCTCATTCCATAGCAACGGGCAGATTCCTCAAGCCAAAGGGCCTAGGTCCCTCCAGCTACCCAGTTGCATACCAGGGTTCCCTCTGGACTCCCTCTGCAAGGTGATCCCCACCCCACCCCCATACTGCTGCTAATAGGTGAAGGTCAGCAAAGAGTGCCCCACCTGGTTCCACGGAACACCCTGGAGAAAAGCACCTCTGCTGAACCCCAGTTGAAGGAAGTATCCTTCAGAAAGACTAAGTTGTCTCAATCACACAGGAAAGGCACTGCGGCAACTTCTGACACCAAACTATGGACACTTTTCACACCAGCCTAGCCAGTCCTGCCTGGTCTGTGCCAGGGTCAAACCAAATTGTAACGTTAGACACCCAAACTTAAGGGGAGCAGTGCGGCCGAGTCAGGGGACGGAGCAGCCCCTGCCCCTTCGGAGTCAATTTCTGACTGAAATCCCCTCACAGGAAACAATTTTCATCAGGGGATTCATCTGGAAACCGGAACAGTGTACAGGAGCCAGAGCTGCCTGGCTGAAGCCCACAGCTGTCCAGAAAGCTCTGTATGCCCTCAAAAAACAAGAGACACCGCAGGGCCAGGAGGAAGAGTGGGGCCTTTGCACAGCCCTCTGCAGAGCAGGAAGGTAACAGGGGCCTGATGTCTCTGCTCACCTTTCCAAGCACCGCCGCTCTGGGACAGCCCCTGATACACATGTTTTACTGAAACATGTGCCAACTGACTCGCAGTGATGAGAAGCTTACACCCAACTTCATGGAAGACGTCTAAGAAAGTCGCTATACTGAGAGCCCAGAGCGGCAGGTGTATAAGAAGGGCTTACGCATCCAACCCAGGGCCCACTTCTCTGCAGTGACCACCCCAACTAGAAGCACCACACTGTCCTCTCGCCTGATCTCCAGATGGGGTGCACTGCCCACGTCTGCCTAGCTGAGCCTCCCTCCCCCTGTGTTCTTTTTGGTACCTGCTTATCACACCTGTAGCCTCTGAAGGTGCCCAGAGGAAAAAAGAAAGGATAGAGGAGAGAGCAATTGC